CAATTGAGATAATCATGTGGTTTTTGTGTTTGGTTCTGTTTATTTGCTGAATTATGTTTATAGACTTGCATATGTTGAGCCAGCCTTGCATCCCTGGGTTGAATTTTTTTTTTTTCCAGGCAGAATCCCCCTCCCCCTCCCAGGCTCAAGCGATTCTCCTGCTCAGTCTCATGAGTAACTGAGATTACAGACACCCACAACTAGGTCCTGCTAATTTCTGTATTTTTAGTAGAGACGGGGTTTCACCATGTTGGCCAGGCTGGTCTCAAACTCCTGACGCCAGGTGATCCACCCACCTAGGCCTCCCAAAGCTCTGGGATTACCATAACATGTGCCACCGCCCTCATCCCATAACTCCAGTTTTTTTTACCCGCTTTGATTGCGGAACTTGGCATGACACCCAGATTCTCATAGTGCAAATAGTCCTCCCCAATTATAACTGCAAGGTTGTTTTCACAAAAGAAAAACAAAACAAGACAAACACAAATTGAAATGGCTGGTCATTTCTCTGGACAAAAAGATAAGTATGGCCAGGTGCAGTGGCTCATGCCTGTAATTCCATACGTTGAGAGGCTGAGGTGTTCAGATCACTTGAAGCCAGGAGTTCGAGACCAGCCTGACCAACATGGTGAATCCCCCTCTCTACTAAAATACAAAATGAGCCAGGTGGTGTGGCATGTGCCTGTAGTCCCATCTACTCAGGAGGCTGAGGCAGGAGAATTGCTTAACCCAGGAGGCAGAGGTTGCAGTGAGCAGAGATCATGCCACTGCACTCAAGCTTGGGCAACAAGATCAGAACTCCATCTCAAAAAACAAAAAAAAGTAATGTGACTGCTATTTTCTCATTATGATCACAAAGTTCATGTGGAAAAGCTAAGCAATATGAAAAATAGAGTTAAAGTTTTTAAAAATTACCCCACATTGGATCAGCAAACATTTTTTTTTCTCTTGAGACAGACTAGGTCTTGCTATTGCCCAAGCTGGTGTGCAGTGGCACAATCACAGATGATGGCAGGCTCGACCTCGTGGGCTCACTCTGTGCTCCTGCCTCCCGTGGAGCTGGGACTACAGGTGCACATCCCTACTTACAGTTATTATTTTTAAATTGTTTTTGTAGAGGAGGAGTCTCACTATGTTGCCCAGGCTACTCTCGAACCCTTGGCCTCAAGTGATCCTCCCACCTCTTCCTTCCAAAGTGCTGGAATTACAGGCATGACATTATTTGGAGACCGGGTCATTACAGAGGTCATCAAGTTAAAATGGGGCATGAAGGTGGGGCCCTGATCCCATATAACTGGTGTCCTTACTAAAAGGGATGTTTGTTGCCAGGAAAAGAAAAAGAAAGAATAAAATATTGTTTTCTTGAGACACGGTCTTGTTCTGTCACCCAGGCTGGAGTGTAGTGGTGTGATCATAGCTCACTGCAGCCTCAATCTCCTGGGTTCACTTGCTCCTCCCACCTCAGCCTCCTGAGTAGCTGGGAGTACAGCTGTGTTACACCATGCCCAGCTAATTTTCTGTATTTTATGTAGAGACACTATCTCACTATGTTCCCCAGGCTGGTCTTGAACTTCTGGGCTTGAGCCATCCTGCCTAGGCCTCCCAAAGTGCTGGGATTATAGGTGTGAGCCACTGTGCCTGCCCAAAGGGAAATTTTCACACAGAGACAGGCATGCTTAGAAGGTCGATGGCCACTATAAGTCAGGATGCCTGAGCCAGGAGAGATGCTGGGACAGATTCTTCCCCAGAGCCTCCAGAGGGAGCCCAGCCTGCGGACAACTGAATTTACACTTCTGGCCTCACAACAGGGACACAGACAACTTTTTATTGATTGATTCATTGATTGATAATTGAGACAGGGTCTCACTCTGTCACCCAGGCTGGAGTGCAGTGGTGTGATCTCAGCTCACTGCAGCCTCATCCTCCCTAGCTCAAGTAGTCCTCCCACCTCAGCCTCCTGAGTAGCTTGGGAACACAATCACATGCAACCATGCCTGGCTATTTTTTTTTTTTTTTCTGAAATGGATTCTGTCTCCGTCCCCCAGTCTGGAGTGCAATGGTGCGATCTCAGCTCACTGTAACTCCCACCTTCTGGGTTCAAGCAGTTCTCCTGCCTCAGCCTACTGAGTTGTTAGGATTACAGGTGTGCACCACCACACCCAACTAATTTTTGTATTTTTAATAAAGACGATATTTCACCATGTTGGCCATGCTGGTCTCAAACTCCTGAGCTCGTGATCTGCTACCTCAGCCTCCCAAAGTGCTAGGATTACAGGGATGGCCGTGGAGTTTTTGGTCGGGTATGAGCCACTACTCCCAGCCTTGTATTTGTTTAGTAGAGATGGGGTTTCATCCTGTTGACCTGGCTGGCCTCGAACTCCTGACCTGAATGATCCTCTCATGCTCCCAAAGTACAGGGATTACAGACATGAGGCTACAGCATCTGGCCTGAGGCAACAAATTTGTCTTGTTCTGAGCCACTCAGTTTGTGGCACTTTGTTACAGCATCCCCTGCAAAGTTATTTCCAAGGAATGATCCATTACATTGTTTAAAGGACACAGAAGCTCATGCCCTTGGTCATTCATGAATGTGTAATTAGGTTTTGGCCAGGAGCAGAGCCTCATGACTGTAATCCCAACACTTTGGAAGGCTGAGATGGAAGGATCACTTGAAGCCTAGAGTTTGAGGCCAGCCTGGCCAACAAAGTGAGACCCCATCTCCACACACACACAAAGATTATTTGGGCATGGTAGCATGCACCTGTAATCCCAGCTACTCAGGAGGCTGAGGTGGGAGGATTTCTTGAGCCTGGAAGTAAGAGGCTGCAGTGAGCTATGATTGTACCACTGTACTGCAGCCTGGACAACACAGGAAGTCCCTCTCTATCTCTAAAAAGAAAAAAGGACACGGGTTTGATTTTGTGTTTTTGTTGTTGTTACGGTTGTTTTTTGAGACATTGTCTCATGCCCTTCCCAGGTGCCCACCACCAAACCTGGCTCATTTTTATATTTTTAGTAGAGAATGGGTTTCACCATGTTGGCCAGGCTGGTCTCAAACTCCTGACCTCAGGAGAACCACCCGCCTCGTCCTCCCAAAGTGCTGGGATTACAGCTGTGGGTCACTGCGTCTGGTCGACTTCATGTTTTGTCTGGGTTTGGACTGGCAGATGTATGGTTAATAATCCAGGTCTAAATATTTCCAGGCTACCGGTGGGTCAGGCATGCACTGACAGTAATGTTGTGGATGGCAATATTGACCTCAAATATGGAAGAAAACAAGACCTGGTCTTCTTTTTTCACCCAGACCGTGTCAACGAGCTGACCTAGAAGATAACAGGACAGGTATGTGAATCCCCGTGTACACCTTGGGAAAGGGGATGCCAACTGCTGGGATCCTAGCACCTCCTGCCACCACCCAGCTTACCCAGCCAGTGACTCTCCCATGTTCGTTACAGCTTTTGAGAGTTTCACTAGTCAAAGGAGGATGAGTCAAGGAAAGCACAGAGCTGGCGCACAATTTTGTTAAACATGACAAGGAATATGCTTTGGTTCAAGAAAACCCATGGTGAGGCATGGTGGCTCATGCCTGTAATCCCAACACTTTAGGAGGCAGAGGTGGGAGGGTCGCCGGAGGTCAGGAGTTCAAGGCCATCATGGCATACATAGTGAAACCTCATCTCTACAAAAAATACAAAAATTAGCCAGGTGTGGTGACACATGCCTTTAGTCCCAGCTACTCAAGAGGCTGATGCCAGAGAATCCCAGGAGGTGGAGGTTGCAGTGAGCCGAGACCACACCATTGCACTCCAGCCTGGGTGACAGAGTGAGACTCTGTGTGAAAACTAAAAAAAAAAAATAAATAAATAAAAATAAAAATAAAATGAGAAAACCCGATCCTTCTGCCAGGCATGGGGGTGCATGCTTGTAATCCCAGCACTTTGGGAGGCAGAGGTGGGCAGATCACTTGAGGTCCGAGTTCAAGAACTGCCTGGCTAACATGGCGAAACCTTGTCTCTACTAAAAATACCAAAATGAAGTGGGATTGGTTGCATGTGCCTGTAATCCCAGCTACTTGGGAGACAGAGGCAGGACAATTGCTTGAAACTGGAAGGTGGATGTTGTAGTGAGTTTAGATCGCACGACTGCACTTCAGCCTTGGGGACAGAGCCAGACTCTATCTCAAAAAAAGAAAAAAGAAGAGAGCTCGACCCCCACTAGTCTCTATAAGCAGGCTCAGAGGGA